AATAAAGTTTCGTCGCATCCGCTAGAGACATTCAACGGAGTACGTGGAGTACAGGGAGTGAGGAATACCCTGGCTAGCGGAGGAGTTATCATCGCGTAATGAAATTATGATACGATAACTGGGCTTTGGAGTACCATACTTTAACACTTTTTTTTCGGACCTGTTCCTTAAGGGACCCATTATGAAATTAAAGTCTATACTTTTTTCTCCCTGGTTACTTCAAAGTCTAGGATAAGTGTTCCGGGAGCAGGACTTGTGGACGAGTCTAGGGGGGAAAGGGTCTCGGACAGGTTTGTTGTCAGTGAACAACATAGAGTGCGACGAACTCTCGGACCGGCGCAGTATAGTGGCTACTATAAGGGATCTATGAGGGGCTACTGCAAGGTTGCCACGTAGGTTACCACATGTAGGGGTTTAGGGTTGAGGGTTTAGTAGATGATTCTCCGATTCTGATTCTGAGGAGGATAACCTAGAAGCCTGAAGAAGTACCAACAGTATTCCTGAGGGTTCCTTAGTATACAAGATACGCCAACCTATTCTCATATACCATTGTGTTAGCATCCGCAAAATGGAGGAGTTAGTCTTGTAGGATACAAACACACATAAATAGAAATGTACGTATGTACGTTGTGTATATACATATTCCTGATATAAGAATACACCTTTATAGTACATGCTATGTTAACAATACCAGTCATGTCAAGAAGACTATAAATTCCAATACCCTAAACCCTAAACCCTAAACCCCAATCAACTGTGCCTCAACACCCGCCTGTCCGGTTGCCTCAGGCACCCGATGTCAGCAGAGCCACGGCACATCTCGCGCATGTCTTCTATGCATCGTTGATATTTAATACTATATATATATACACTGCAAGAATGTATTCAAGATATACAGATATGTATACTTATACCTAGTATCATACATACTACAAGACTTATGTACTCTATAATTATGCATATACATTGTCTTTTATTGTTATTGTTATGATTATTGTTTGTATAATTTCCACACTTTTGGGAACCCAGGGCCGGCTTGAAAGACATCCCGGTCGACTTGCTGCAGATCATGCAGGCGATGGGTGGGGGGGTGGGGGCTGACGGTTTAGGGTTCAGCGTCAAGGGTTTAGGGTTTAGGGTTTAGTATTTAGGGTTCAGAGTTCAGGGTTCAGGGTTTAGGGTTTAGGGTTTCAGGGTCTAGGGTTTAGGGTGTGGCGGGGGCTTGTGGCTAAGGCGGTTTTGGGTTCGGGGGCACTCGGGTCTAAGTTGAAGTAGCAATTGATGGCCATGGGATCGGAAGGAACGATCTTCGTCACGTTGGCCTTCTGCCCTCTACACACCTCTCTCCCACAGAACCCTAAGTACCGATATGGGGAATACCTACCCAAACCATAATCGTAGTTCTTACTATAGTAAGAATCCCTACTGTCTGCGATGTCGCTACTTTGGACCTGAGCTGCTCTGGAGGATTTCTCCCGACCGCCAGACCTTAGACCGTGAAAGTCCTGGCCCCCAAGCTCCAAAGCCAAGGAAACGCTCAAAACTCGAACGGATAAAGTTTCGGGGGAGTGGGCTTTAGGGTTTAGGGGTAGTGGGCTTGCATGTTTGATAGCCTCATGAAACAAAGTCCTCTAAGCCCTGAGCCGGCAGACTCAGCATGAGGAAGTGGATTCGGATGGGAGTGGGAACATCGACTACACGGAGTTTCTAGCAGCGACTCTAGACAAGAGGAGCGGGGGGTTGGGATGTTAAGGGTTTGAGAATGTAGTGTTTGTTGAGGGCTTTGCGGTTTTAACGGTTTGTGTCAAGCCCGTGGGTGTTTTAGGTTTGGGATTTAGGGTGCGGTGTTGAGTTTTCTGTCCTGGCATTCGGGTCTCTAGTGTTTGTTCGTGCTTGGCACGTGCAATTTACGGTTCAGGTTTCTCTGTCTGCCCGTCTCTCTGCCGGTTTATCTATCTGTCTCTCTGACTGCCTCGTACGTATGTAGGCAGGATGCTTGTGTGTGCACGTCTACAGAATCGTTCACAGGTTAACTGCACAGAAGTCTTCATGTTCTAGCGGGCAGGAAGGGCGATAGTCTGGCGGTGCTTGCCCCCATGCAGTATTTAAGCATGATTGCGGACTGCTCCGACTCTTTGTCTTACGTTCGAGATCGTCTCAAGGTCATTCCGCAAGCCCTGGCGAGGATGTACATCCAAGAAGACGTTTGCTGGTCTGCCTTCCGTGTCTTCGACAGGCACGATGGGCTTGGGCTTGGGGTTGCGATTTTAGGGGGCGATTTAGGAACCCTAGGCCCTAAACCCTAAACCCTGAACCATTTGGGCTCATTTAGGGATGGGCCTCTTGTCCAACAAGCCCTCGGCCGCAGCACGGGCCCCTTCGGACTTCTCGCCTAAACCCGAAAGCCCTAAACCCCTAAACCACGAAACCCCAATGCCAAAAGGACTGGACATCCTACACTCCCCAAAGCCCTGAACCCTAAAGCCCAAACCCCCAAGCCCAAACCCCCGAACCCCGAAGAAGAACCTTGGGCGACACCCTGAGACTGGGATCAATGTACCGCACCCTAAACCCTAAACCCTAAACCCGAAGCCCTGGGTGTTGCAGGAACGGCGATGGAAAGATCTCCATGGAGGAGCTCCAGCAGGCCCTTAAAAAAACTTTAAGCATGCCGTAGTACAGCCAGGGTTCAGGGTTTAGGGTTTGGGGTTTAGGGAGTTTACTATATCGTATTGATTAAACTTGGTATCGTATACAAGGTGTAGAGCAGAGTTTAGGGTTTGACGCTTCCGGTTTAGGGAGTTCAGGGTATGTGGGTAGTCGTCAAAATTATGGTCCCTTTTGGGGTACCCTAAATAATAGGTGCCGTATTATAATAAGGACCCAAAAAGGGACCATAGTTTTGACAACTACCCATGTGGGTTTCAGGTTAAGTGCAGGGTTTACAGTTTACAGCGGTGAGAGCCTTGAACTTGTCCGACGGCCTGACCTGATACGACCACAAAACTTGGAACATAATATAGAAGCCTAAATCATTACCAATATTATTCCTTATGGTTCCGTCATATAAGTATACTATAAAGGGGCCCATAACCCTATATTCTAAATATTAAGGCCCCTACATTACACCTGTGGCCACGTCAAGAATATTCAAGAATGTCAGTTTTCTAGTGACCCGACACTGTCAACCGTTACAATGCTCTCCTGTGCTCCTTCGTTCATGACCTCGTTCTGTGTTTCATTGAGTGGTCAACTGTCAACCAAAAGAGATGTAATTACATTGAAGATCATAGGTAAGCCCAGATCGTGCACCTTGCTCTGCTTACTGTCAGGTGCTTTGTGCTCAAGACGTCGAGGAGGTAGTCGGTACAAAGGCGCGGCATCTCCTGCAGTTTTGAAGGCTAGGGCTTTGGTTTTAGGATTGGTGCTGTTGTTGATTTTGGATGCTTCTCTCTTGTCAAACGAATTCAAGACATGACAGAACCACTAATCTCTGAAGCAATCAACTGTCCACTATCAGGCCATCGCCGAGCTCATGCTAGAGGTGGACGGCAACGGCGATGGCTTCATCGATTTCAAGGAAGCTACCCTAAGTCCTAAGCCCCTGGATCTTGCCGCTACCCAGGAAGAGGCGGATCGCATAAACCCAAAGCTTGTAAGGTTTGGGGTTTAGGGTCCCGTGGCTTAAACCCCTAAGGCCCTAAAAGCCGTATGTTGTAGAACCCAAGGTCCTGAAATGTCCTGCAGGAGTTCATGTCGATGATGCGTGACCACGCGAAGGGTGGTGGAGGGGTGGCCACATACTCAGTCGATGGTTTAGGGTTTCGGGATTAGGATCAGCTTAGTCAGTATCAGCCATACCAGATGAGATAGATGCCTACGATATTGTTGTCTCTATGGCAATCATCACCATCGTCGTCAAAGTTTCTTCATTTGCTGCTACTCATGCTTTTTTGTGCTTGCTGTTCCGACACGACTTTTGCCGGCGTCTCAGCTTTGCGATTCTCGACGGTATTGCTACTGCCACTTGTCACTTCGGTCTCTTGCAACTACCACGCTGTTGTTTTCCGGCTGAAGCGCTGTTGCCTGCAGTCACGTAAGAGTAAGGGCACCATCAGGAAGAAAGGCTTCTACCATTATTTTTACTGCCGGTACCACCGCCACCGCCACCACCACCACCACCACTACCACTGCCACCACCATTACAGAAAACAACGTCAAAGGGGCCTGCGCTTCTTTGCACATAGAAACACACACACACACACACACACACCACAGGTCTAAAGAAACACATGCCGTCCAGCAGAAAAGCCGGAAAGCATGGGTGTCCATGACGTCGTGTGTTCTACCGACCATTACAGCCACTACTGCTAGCCTCTGCTACTGCTAAGACTTTTTCGTGTCTTACAGAAGGCTTCAGCAAGGCTTGCAGCAACCCTAAACCCTACACCCCTAAACCCCCATACTTCTACTTTTTTCTCTCCTTCCGTAGGTCTGTGCCCCTGGGCCCAGGCCCATTCCACTGCGTGAGCTGCGCGCCCGCCCCCTGCGACCTCGCCGGGGCTCCAGGAGGGGTTCCCTCAGTTTCCAAATCGGGTTTAGGGTTTAGGGGTTTAGGGTCTAGGGTTGAGGATGGTTTAGGGCAAGCATCCCTTGTGACTCGCACTTGGAATTCCCCCCCCGACCTGCTTGCATGCAAGAGTGAAGATATCAGAATGTACGATGCAGGCTGCAGATCGAATCTGGCAAAGGGCTTCAGGGTGTATATACTACCTGGAACTTCAGTGACAAAGCATTTGCCAGGAGTGCTCTCTGGGGCAAGATAGTTAGAATGCAGGTATGTAATACTGTACTACAACTCTACATTAAACTTAGCTGTTCTATGACTACTGCAGAGGGACAGGAAGGGGATACTACTACTGTATCCGAAATTCTCGTTTTTAAGGGCATAGTTACTACAAACTAACTGTATACCACTCTGGTAGCCCTGTTTCACCATGAGCGAAGAGCCCGTCCGCCACACGGACAAGACTTCCGTCGAACCCCTTGCTTGTGGAACAGCTCGTGCAACCCCCTTCGAGGGGTACATGTAGCACAGGAGAGTACTGACTTCCCCTAAACCCTAAACCTAAACCCTAAATTCCCCGCTTTACCCTAGACAGCTGGGTGGACCATTTGCTTCACTTGCAGTTCTGAAGCAAGATCTATTTGTCGCGATTTTTTCGCTGCCAGTACACATACCGGAAGGACAGTCGTTCTTCTACTTTGCGCTCGCATCGGCCAAGAAAGCCGTTGTCCTGCGAGTAGTGTGGGTTGAAGGTAGGAGGAGAGGTTTCACCTGAAGCATGAGTTCGTTTGGGGCAAGGGCCTCATCCCAAGGCAAGATGCCAACTGCTTACAAGAAGGAGAGAGTCAGTCAGAAAGACCATGCCAACCGTTGGGCATCCGGCCTCGCATCTCCGTTTAACTCATGTTGCGGTAGTACAAAAAGGAGCGCTACGGTTGATGGACAAAACCCTGCATGACCCCATATACCTAAACTATGGGGTGTATGGTACTATACTTTATTTGGGTCATGCAGAATTTTGTCCATCAACAGTATTGCCCTTCAGCATCCTCGGTTTGTCTTGAGAGGCGGCTTCCGGGGGTCCAGTTTCTTAGGGTTTAGGGTTTAGGGTTTAGGGTTTTAGGGTTTAGGGTTTTAGGCTTTAGGGGGTCCAGTTTCTCTGAGTTGCAGCGGCTCGGATGAATGTGGGGCAGGGGCAGAGTTTCCGCGAGGATGGCCACAGTACCAAAGCCGTAGTTTAAGCTTGCTGCTGCTTTTTCTGAAGAAGACGGCATACCAAAGGACGATACGTTCGTGATCTGTTAGGGATGTCTTGAGTTGTGACACTGGTTTTGGGTGCTGGTTCTGAGAAGAGGTTGAATGTAATTACTGTTGATACTGACATGGGAGTTTCCGCAAATAAGGGGTACCTTATTTTGGGGTTCCTAATATTAAGGATCCTATTATTTAGGGTACTATATTAGGGTCCCCTATTTTCGGAAACCCCCACATGGCACTGGTGAGTTGGATGATGCTGCGGTGGCTGGAGATGGCTTTTGCGACTAAAGACGCGTGCATCATCGCCAGCAACAACATAGCAGCATCACGACATAGCCGCTCCTATCATCACCACCGTCGTCAACACCAGGGCACTACCGTGTGGCCACATTGATCGCCATGGCCTTCGCCATCGTCATCATCATTTTCTGCCTCCTACTTTATCATCACCGTCTTCGTCGCCTGCTTCCAACCTGCAAGAGCAGCATTCTTATCGTCATCGTCATTGCCTTCACACGCTTCGCTTTGCTAGGAGATTGTCTTCACCATTTCCGCCATCATCAGCACAGGTGTGAGCACCTTCATCGCCATGACCACCACCATCGACGTGTCAACCGGCTTCCTAGAAGCAATCATGTCAGCCACGGTTCATCTGCTCCGTCATGGATCCAGGCACCCTGCGAGTGCCAGGGAAGGGTAGTGGAGCAAACAGCATCCGAAACACAACATCCGAAGCAAAGCTCCTGAAATCAGGCTTCTCCTAAGCTCTTGTTTCTTGAGGTACTTGCAAAGCGCAAGCAGCTTCGTTGTTAAGGCCACAAGAGGATCCTACTTCACGACAAGCCTTCTAGCTTGCAATGCGCCAGAGGGGGACTCATGCCATCAGTTATCACCAAGGCAGCAATGAAGCAACCTAAACCCTAAGCCGGTCAGCCGCGACCCGAAACCCCGACGAACCCTCAACCCTACAAGGAAGGGGCCTTAATAATTAGAAGAGGGTTTGAGGGGTTGCTCACTATAATGATAGTATAATATGCACCCAAACCCTGTTCCAACTAATTATTAAGGCCCTTACAATAGCCGGCTATACCTCGACCCTTTTCACTAGAGATAGCTCCCCCGTCCCCCTTCGCCTTCGCTGCTGTGCCTCCTTCAGCCGGCGGGTCCCCCAGTTATCTTCGCACTCTCCGTATGCGACGTAGGCTCTAGGGCACTGTCGGGTTTAGGGGGTCAGGGTCTAGGTACTCTAGGATTCTTACAAAGTGCGATAGCCCCGGCCCCTAAACCCTAAACCCTAAACCTTCGGCACAGGCAGGTCACTTGTAAAGAAGCAGCAAACTCGGGGAGTCCCACTCATTCTAGAGCTCAAGTTTGCGGACTATACATCGGGCAAGTTCGAAGGTGTGCCATCACCCGATGTCTTTCCGTAGAAGCTACAGGTTCGACGGTCTTTTGCTGAGGCTGCGTTGTTTGCGACTGGCCGGCGCGTTTTTTTTGGTGAAACCTTGGCCTGGGTCTGTCACCGTTTCGAGTGGGAAGATGGAATAGGGTCTAATATGGGGGCCTCAATAATTAGAACAGGGTTTTGGGGCCCACTATACTATATTTATAATCAGGAACACCCCAAAATGATAGTGGTAATTCTTTAGGCCGCTGTATTAGTCGGGTTTACGGCATAGGGACTTTTGCCCTACCTGGACCCTGAGAAACCTGGCTTGTTAGGGATCCTTATATGACTTCCCTGTGTATGTCCTGAAAAAGGTAGGGTTTAGGGTTTAGGGTTTAGGGTTTAGGGGTATGTCCTGAAAAAGGTAGGTTCTTTAGGGTCTAGGTAAGCCCTAAGCGAAAAATCTTTTGGGTTTAGGGTTTAAGCGATGCAGTCCTGGGTCTTGGGCCCCAAGGCTGTTGATAGCCAAAGGCCACAGCCATCAGAGTGAACAAGACAGAGTGGCAATGCACTTTCGCGAACTCAACCAACAAAGACCAGTGGCATCAGGAAGCCGGTATTGAATCAAGACAGAGCTACCCAAAAACCCTAAACCCTAAACCCGATGACCCCGATGACCATGCCCCAAGTCCCATACCCTCAACCCTATACCCCATATCCACAAAAAGCAGCCATAGCACATGCCAGGCAATTCAGATGCCCCTGGGCAGCAATCGCGCTGCTGAGGCACCAAGCTCCTTAACTTAGGTCCGCCTAGCCCTGAAGCCTAGCTATTTCTGAATAGGTTTTCTTCTTCAAGGTTTAGGACCTGAATATTTACTCATACTGAACAACATTCCCCCAAGATCTGTTTCATAGCACTAGTGCAACACGCCCACAACATGTTTTTCTAAGTACCTAATTGCCAAGGTTCCTCTATGTTTATCTACAGCCCTTCTGCCACGAATTCTCAAGCCTTGTTTGTTTCATGGGTTCAGGCTCCTGACCTGAGCCATACCCACTTATAAGCTTCTTCAGTCACTGATTTGGTCCTGCATGGGTTCTGGGAATCTCAACCCGAGGACTGTAGGCAAGCATTCATGCCAGCAATGGAGACGAAACAGCTGCCCAGGCAAGAATGGTAGCTTCAACCAGACTAGTGGCATTACAGTATGTAGCTCACACCAAATAAGAACAGGCTCGAAGTCACATTAGGCACAACAACTGGTAATGCGAATGATTCGTTTACCAGAAGTAAAAAAAAAAAACTTCAAACTTCTGAATATGAGCGGTATTTTCGGATGGTATTAGGATCACCTTCGGATTCTTCTTCTTGGAATCGTGTTGTTCTTTTGTTGTATTGCTACTCACCCCGCCAGGCCCTTCGTCTGCTTGGTTGTGTGCTTCTGTGCTGCGCTCGGTGTGCAACCTGACTTCCTCGGACCTTCGCGGGGCTTTTGCTTTGGAAAGGAAGGGTTTAGGCAGGTTTATACCTTGAACCCTAAATCCTGCAAGCCTTGTAAGCCCTATAAAGCCTGAACCCAAAAGAAGTTAAGCCCCCTACAAGCCCTAAGCCCTAAACCCAAACGACGTGTTTAGGCTTTTGGTTTGGGTCTGGGAAGTGATTCAGTCAATCAAGCCTTGCAGCACTAGACCTTGAGCCCACAGACTTCTCAAACTCTGCAAACCGTCAGAATTCGAATTAGGGTTTAGGGCTTAGGAGTCTAATGTAGTGTAACATAGCATGATATAGCATAACATGGCAAAACATGATATATCATAGCCTAAACTCCTAGACTGGAAGCTCTCCATGGTATCGCCTTTTCATGCTACTCAGTCCGAGTGAAGGTCGGCGAGATCGGAGCGATCTGGGATTGCAGGCTCCGTCTTTGCCGATGCTCCGGCTGGGCAAGCTGGGACTCGAGGGTTTATAGCGGTTTAGGGTTGGGGTTTTGGGGTTGGGGGTTTAGGTTTTGGGGTTTGGTGGTTTGAGGATTTATGGTTTAGCGCTCGGGGTTTAGGGTTTGGAGTGTGGACTGCTCCCAGGCATGTTCCACTGTATGACAACGATACCGTTGCTTGGGCAATTCTTGAGGTTCCTTGTTGATTGTTGGGGTTTGCGGGGTTTCTCCCAACTTTAAGCAGGAGCCCATAAACACAGCGAGTTTGGCCTGCCTAACACGGACCCAGGTTCCCTAAACCCATATTGACAGATGACGGTTGCCACCTAAGACCGCTGCCGTACTGCTGCGACCAAATCGCAGAGCACCGTGCTCTTTGTGTCAGCTCTGCTTACTGCTTCGTTCCTCTACGGGATTGCAGCAAATCCTTAAAAAAGGGCCCTTAATAAGTAGAATCGGGTTTTGGTGGTGTCTTATGCTATAAATAAAATAAGGAACCCCCAAAACCCTATTCTGATTAATTATTAAGGCCCGGTGGCTTATACTGTAATTAAAATAAGGAACTCCCAAAACCCTATTCTGATTAAGTATGAAGGCACTTTACGATATAGTTAAAATACGGAACCCCCAAAACCCTATTCTGATTATTAAGGCCCTTGCTGGCCCCTATTCTGATTAAGTATGAAGGCCCTTACGATATAGTTAAAATACGGAACCCCCCAAAACCCTATTCTGATTAAGTATTAAGGCCCTTATGCTATAATTACAGTAAGGAACCCCCAAAACCCTATTCTGATTAAGTAGTAAGGCCCTTACATGACCATAATTGGCATAGGCTCTACGCTTCCGGCAGGAATCCGGATTATGCCGGGTCACCTCCGCAAAGCAGACCCTTTTCCCTCGGAACTTCAAGAGCCCAGGGTTTAGGGTTTAGGGTTTAGGGTTTAGGGTTTAGGGGTCCCCACCCCCCCCTCCCCCCGGCATCTGGTCTGGGTTCCCGGTCAGGGGCTGACCTGGAATTGGCTGCACTGACGACTGCCAATGTTGTTGAGGCACCTGGAGGTTAACCTCGGGGTTGGGGTTTAGGGCTTTCGGGTTTTAGGGTCTGAGGTTTCAGGCATGCCTCACAGCTGAGGGTTTGAGGGTTTGAATGGGTGTGTAGGGATTGAAGGTTTGCGGTTTCTGTGCTTGACTGCAGGGGTTTGGTAGTGTTGTCAAGGTGTCCCCGAAAGGTTCTTGTTGGAAGACCTCCGAAGCATAGCATAGGGGCCTTAATAAATTGCCTACAATAATCTTGGGGTTCCTTAGTATAATTATAGTACCCCCAAAGCCCTATTGAAAATAGTATGGCTCGTATATTGCCTCGCGGCTTCGTGTTTGAATTTGTCCATGTGGTGTAGTTTTTGTTGCCCAAAGGTCTGCTCCTCCCATCCCCCCAAAAGCCGAAACCTAAACCCCGAACCCTTAGGCTTTACCTCAAACCTACCTGGATAGTTTTCCAACTTAGGGTCCGTTTTAAGGGTCCTTCTTACAAGGGTGCCGTACTGTTTTGGGGACCTAAAAAGGGACCCCAATTTAAAATTAGAGAACTACCCATAACCAAACCTCCAACCTTCCCGTGATGTAGCTGGAGACTTGGACCTACAAGCCCTACACCCTGACATGACCTCACCTCACGGTAGCTCTCCGGAGTCAGTCGTATCAATCCAAGTCTCCGCTGCAATATATACCGTACTCTAGCGGCCCTGTTGCTCATGTACTTTCTGGCAAGGTGCATTCGAAGCTGTTGATAGGGAAACGACGGCCAGAAAAGGCAGTATGATTCTGAAACCTATGCGGGGTCTACAGTATGCACGGACATTTTCAGTGAAGGAGACAGTGCAGGGTGAAAGCCGCTGCACCGACGTTTTCAGTCGTATCCTGCAGCTCCAGCTCCCCCTCAACCCTATACCTATAGTCTCCATTGTAGTTCCTTTTTTTGGCTAACCAAATTTATATTAAAGGATCCTAACCATAAAATTGGTTAACCATAAAAGGGAACTACAATGGAGACTAATTATAGGTAAACCCGAAACCCAAAAGCCCTAAACTGCAGGAAGGGATTCTTCCCACTACCTATCAAGGCACCTGCGGTGGAGTGCCCTGCTCAGTTCTGGATGCCTCGGAAGGGTTTAGGGTTTAGGGTAACACCTACGAACCTAGCACAACTCCCCTGAGTGACATTCTCCCGGCCATGTGCTATCTGACAAAGTTGCTGCTTACGGCGCATCCGCTGGTGACAGTCATAGTGATGAAGACGTGGCCATCATTATGTTCTGCATCATCATCGCCGTCATCACCACCACACCTCTCTTCTGCATCATGATATACCGGATGTCGATGATGTACATGCTCATGCGGTGGAGGATTTTCTGAGATAATACCAACAGAGACGAGGAAGGACACGTTCCGCCATTGCAACAACGATGATGTCGGCTGTCATGCTGTTGCTGCTGACGACGACGAGGACGACGACGACGACCACAACAGTTTATGATGATGATGATGATGAAAACCCTAAACCCTAAACCCTAAACCGATGGTGGTGATGATGATGATGACGATGATGATGATGATGTTTGCAATAGTGGCCCTGATTTCGTATACAGATGCAAACCGGGATCGTTTCTGACATGGGCATCTCAGGATGACATCATCAGCCTCATGCGTGTGCAGGAGCTCCTCGGCTTCAGTAAATTATTGATCTTTCTTCGAGGGTTTAGGGTTTGGGATTGGGGCGTTAGGGTGTAGGGTTTAGGCTTTGGGATTGGGGCTTTAGGGCTTAGGGTTTAGGATTGGGGCTTTAGGGCTGAGGCTTTGGGAGTGGGCTTTAGGGTTTAGGGTTTAGGGTTTAGGGTTTAGGTTTGGGAGCGTGTTTTCTGGATAGGAGCCACCCCGAAGCGGAGCCCAGTTTATCTCTACAGCAGACGAGACATTGAGATGCAGTGTTAGTATTCGCAAGAGTCATGCTTCGCTGTCAAGGTGGAACGCGCGCCAAAATCCCAAAGCGTAAGCCCTAAACCCTAAAGCCCCAAACCCTAAGCCCAATGCCAAAGCTAAACCCCTACAAACTTAATATAAACCCTAAACCAAAAACCCTAAACCCCAATCCCAAAGCCTAAACCCCAAGGCCCCAATCCCAAAGCCTGAACCTAAACCCCTAAACCGCAAACCCTAAATCCTAAAGCCCCAATCCCAAAGCCTAAACCCTAAACCCTAAAGCCCCAATTCTAAACCCTAAACCCCCAATCCCAAAGCCTAAACCCTAAACCCCAAAAAGCCCAATCCTAAACCCTAAACTCTAATCCCCGAAACCCCAAACCCTGAACTGTTGGGGTTGGTTGCGAGGTCGCCAGTCATGTCAGGAGCCAAGAAACCGTCGCGGCTTTTCGATGTTGTTCCATAGGGTTCAGGGTTTAGGGTTTAGCTTTCAGGGTTTAGGGTGTAGGGGTTTAGGGTTTTTTGGGTTTAGGCTTCTTCCGAAGTTTGGTAGTATCTGCCAGTCGCTGCAGGACTGTATAACTCTTCTACGGGTACTATAAGTGTCCTTGAATTTGTTTCCTATAAGTCCGGCTTCTGCAATGGTTTGCCCACTAGGGTTCTGAGGGTTCTTTGTTTGAGATCGCCTTAGGTCTGAAACTCCAATATTGATGTCAGGGCAGGCGCTGGCATTCCAGCACCCAGATGATAACATACACCAGCTGGCATGTGCAATGTTACATATATGTACATGTATGCCGATATAGAAGCATATGTGACGTGTGTGTGTGTGTGTGCGCGTGTACATGTATATATATATATATGCACATACATATACATCACATACATACATACATACATAC